TAGTGGTGGATGTGGAGAAAGGTCTGGGTATGCCCCAGCCAATGCCATGTTTATTATATTAATAGGTTCTTATCTTCTTTATTCTTCTTCCTATCTTCTTATTATAATAATGTTCCCATTACATACAATAGTGTGATGATGAACATATAGATAGATATTTATGTCCCTATTGTGTAAAAAGTGTAATATACAAGCATATTGGTTTTTGAAGCTACCAAGCCTGTAGCCATTTGCGAACTCATCTCCAACCCCGCGGAGCCCTTACTTCTACAGAAACACAATACCTCTCCCTGCCTCGCCTCTCTCGCCAATTCTCGGCTTGATGTCCCCTTAGGATGTCGCCGTCCCCAAACCCGATGACGCTGTAAAGGTCAACTGCGACCAACAACATACTCACTCAAAAAAAAAGGAGCAATGCCAATTAACCCCAACTTAACTTCAGGTGGTGTAGAACATTTGTTCTCGGCCTCGATAAAAAGATGATATCTGGCAAAGTAGGAAATGTAAAAAAAATCAGTGAATATGCATACTTTTTGACTACTTGAATAGTTTCTGACAGTGTACTCTACACATTCAGTTAACCTTAGCCTTATTAAATAAACTTTATTATTTACGAAATCGCTAAACTTTTAATGTGACAGTTAAAATAGAGCAACAACACTGTTAAAATTAACCGAGGGCTATAATGTTGAAATATAGTCCAAGTTAGGAGGTTGTAAAATATTTTTATGTTATATTTTTCAACCTTTATGTGCTTTGTTCGGGGAAATGAAAACAAGAATTTCAAAGAACATTTTATTTTCTGTGTGCGTGATAAACTATTTATCTTGTCACGATTTGGTGTTAAAAACATAAATTGCAATATCCAGTGTATTGTTGTGATTAACTGAAGTAGGCAACAATTGGTTTAGAAATAAGGTAAAATAGAAAAGAAGGTCGTATTAAATATAATCAAATCAATATGGACAATCTAGCCTTCTCAAAATCAGATAATTTCTACAAGAAATTTGAACTTTAAACAAATGTATTTTTCTTTAATATCGATAAAATACCTACTGATATTACAAAAGAGGTAGGGTAGCGGATTTTCTGCTGGAATTGGAGCGCCCGTCTATGGAAGTAAGCTCCACCTTAGTGTCGCCGCACACGGGCCACACGCCACAGCCACAAGCGCCGCCACGAGAAGCTTAGAAGCGGCTACTAAAGTGGCTGAGGCGCGCGACAGCGGCCGACTAAGGTAAGGAAGAGAGGGGTGGGGAATCGCGCGAGTGACGTGTGGTGGCGTTTTGTATCGGCGCATTAAGTGGCCGGTGCGGGCCACAAGAAGCGAGCAACGATGATTTGTAGCGTGTGGCGGCCACCGGCGTGTGTGTGGCGAGTCCATATAAAATGTATGAAGACTACAAGAAATATGGCGGCGTTTTGTGGTTGTGCTCGGTGGCCCGTGTGCGGCGACACTTACAGAAGATTGCAGTAAAAATAACACTGCTTTTTGTTAGTGTTGTGTTTCTGTCGGTGAGTAAGGTTCCAGGGTAGAGGATTGTATCACGATAAATAACGATGCGAATGATATTTTTGTTAGGTACCGCAAACGTCTATAAGCTGTGGCGGCCGCTCACCATCAGGCGGGTCTTACGCTTGTTTGTCACCAAAAACATAAAAAAACACCAGTATGTATGTAAGAGCTGAAGCTCTTAGTAGGCGCAGTATAATGCTCATTCGGTCTACAATTGTGGAATTTAAGCAACTTTTGCAACAGCCGGTGTAGGATGGCAGATTAGCGCGTTAGGGGGACTTCGGTCCTCACAATGCGTGTCGGTGGCCGATGCTGGAGTATTGTCTTGTTTTTACCGCTTTGGTTGGGCCCTGTTCATTTCATCGGCCTTCAAAGCCCAGGAGTAGTAGAGGAGTCTCTGATACCTTCTTCATGCTCTCCCAGTGGCTGAAGGATGCGTAAGGCATTTCCCAGACATAAGAAAAGACCAAAAATTCAGATGGCACGTTAAGTCTTTGGTCCAGACTGCATCTGCAGTCGTTAGCTCGACCAATCTGCACTGAGCCTGCGTGATGGATCATGGTTTGTTTTCCTTATATCATCTATGGAGGATATGTGTCCCAGCTGTGATGATAAAATAAGAAATGTAAAAAATTAAATCCTTTCCTTTATGTTACTAACGAAATATCACGGATAGAGATACTAAATACATTGAAATACAAACAAAACGACGTATACTCAAATACTACTCTCATAGCTTTAAAAGCACCTCAATGCCACATCAAATATTATCTAGGTCTCAGGCGTATTTAAAACGAATTTCTCAAATCTATCATTAAGATCTGTGTATCGACAAAACGGGTGGTTGGTTTCCGTTTGAAGTACTTACAATCGAACCGAGTACATAATTGACAAGGCTGAAACGAAAGTCTAATAATAAATCTGTTACTTAAGAGTTCAGCAACATTTAGGAGAACTCTCTAATCAGTAGAAGAGTAAGAATAAAAAACCGAATATTACAATCTTCGAGAGGCTTTCGTTCGCATTGAAAATTGAATCAACATATTATTAAGAGTCCGATTCGAGTTTCTATCTGCACAAATCAAATGATAATGCCCACGTGATTCTTTTCAATTTCATACTATATTAGTGCATATTAAAAGCTGTCAGCATGACACCGCTCTTACCGAAAGTCGTTTAAAAGCTTGAAATTCACCTTATTTCCAATTGTAATAAGGTTGCACTTATATGAGTTATGTGTTCGTTTGTCGCACCAGCAATTTTTGCGCTTGGTGTGAAAAAGAACGAGCCATCTTACTTGGCAGAGAAAAAAAAGCATATATAATAGTAAATAAGTTGCGAAAAAGAAGAAACTACAAATACATACTGAGCGCTTGTCGAACTCAATTCTTTACTGTCTCTCTGTGTGACCCTTAAATCAACGCATCGGAGCTTGTCCCCCTCAGGTTTGAGTGGTCTAGAGGCTCCAGACGGAGAGGAGACTCCCCCCGTGGGGAGACGCCATCCGACTGGAATACCTCCAGAGGCACTTGCCAATTCCCGGCTTGAGGTCCCCTTAGGATCTCGCCGTCCCCAAACCCGGTGACGCTGTAAAGGTCATCTGCGACTAAAAGCATACACACTCAAAATAAAGCATCGGAGCTCTTACATATGCTTATCATTGTACAGCTTATAGATGTTTGCCATTGAGCGTCGCCACATAACAGCATTTTTTTATTGACTTCATATTCAGTGTGCTAAGAACAGCTAAGCTTCTCTCACACATGCAACAATAAGTAGACGTTTCATTAATGGATTAACCATACTAATGTTGAAACAAACAGTTCAAACAGTTGATCAAAAGTGATTTTACTATGCTAACGAAAATAGGGATTTACAATGTAATTATATCTCTCAACAGTATTCTGACGAAGCATACCTGAAAAGGCTGCGAAACGTCAACAAATAAATAAAGTTTCGTGCCCATTAAAACTAGTTTTATTTCATGAGTGATGTGCGTGAAAACCTAAGAAACAAATATCTTAACAGAATTTGGATCCTGAACAAATCGTGGATCATTATACAAATATACTAGATATGTACCTACTACATACTTATTTCGAGTTATTTCATTTAAACACTCAAGATGTAAAAATCTTCAAAACGGAATCAAAATTACACACGGATGATGAAGTGTTGAAAAAACGCACAACGGACAAGAAGAAGAAAAATATTGTTTTCTGATTGCGAATACGGTAAATTGACACAATTATTTTTTTCGGTGTGCTTAATGAATAGTACCACCCACGTACAAACCCATTCACATGAGGCCAGTGAAATTATGGACTATTGTAGCATATAACTGTTTCCATTGTCGTGGAGCAGGCGACGAAAGAGAACAAAATATACCTGACCAATTTGCTAATACACTTTGTAAACTATGCAAGTAGGCGACTGGTGATTAGCAATTAGCTTAGAAAGGAACGGTTTGATGTATGTAGCTACTCGCATTGAATACTTTTTATAATTGTCTTTCGGTCGCATTTTATGGTCATTTTACAATTTGTGACATTTGACATTGGCTGTTTTATAATTTTATTTATAGTAGCATCTGTTACCGAATCAGACAAAGTCTGTAAAACAGCTTACAGCGCCAGAATCCCAAGAACGTAATTTTGCGAATCCAAGTGAGTACATCAATGTGAGCTACAAATAAATTACTATCAAGAAATATAAAACAAAATGGTTACTTATTAATAAAAACAAGGAGAATTTTAGAAAAAAAAAAACTTTATCTAGTGAATGGAGGAATAATAGAATTGTACGTCCTTCGTTGATGTAGAAATTCATTAGCACGAGCTCGATTCCAAAGTAGTTAAAGCGTTCGATTTGATATTGGGAAATAAAACTTTCCTAAAGTTTGGTTTTCGAATGGATAGCCATTTTTTTTTATCTCAAACGTCTTTCTTTCGCATCAGAAAGCACATTTAGTCCCGGTTGCATCTGCAGTTGGTAATACTCAGAAATCCATGTGTATATCCATTCTGATATCCTTAGCTTTCTGTTCGGTTTTATATAAATCTCTGGTTTTTTTATGTGAGTATATTATTTTGGTCTGGTTGCCTGGGTGCATTCGAGACCGCGTCGAAGCATAATCACACTGTACCCACAAACGAGAAGTCACTTTTATTGTTTCGAAACTCTTCAATCGCATTCATTAAGCACACAAATATGAGTAGGGTTATGATATACCTAATATTTTATAAAACTAGCATTATAATAATCTTAATTCTTAAACAGACATGATTTAATAATATATGACGCTCTAACAACATCGTAAATGTATATTATTCTCAACGTTGACATTAGCAATTAAGAACACATTAAAATAAGAGTAAATATGAAAAACATTTAACCGTTTACTCATGGATACTTGTGGAATCTGTGCGGTCATTTAGAAACAAGCTAATGTAATTTAATCTTTATTCTGTAAGCGATAGAAACTATGTCAAATGATTATATTAAAGTGGTGCCAGACGCGGCGCCCACGTTTGATGATTTACTACGAGTAGTTGATCCAGTTAAGCAAATAAACATAACTGGTTTGCAGATATGACACTTTTTTTATCTTAAGTTGCTGATTTAAATACTCTGCAACTTTCTGACACCGCTTAACTTTTAAACATACATTAGAGAATTTTCGTTGAGCTTTTTTATCAAATTCGCAAAGGAGATGTGGCACCATGTTTCTGACAAAAAAAAATAAGGTTATTGCTATGTATAACAATTCTGATTGGTATAAGGAGCTGATAATTTTAAATATTTGCAGTTATAGCGTCCGAAGAATTATTATGAAATTTTACGAATTTGAGAAATTTTCAAGTCACTGCCATTTTATTTCATGACATACAGCACTGAGAGATTGACGTACACAATGACTTAGAATCGAGGATGAACTTTATTTATAAAATAATTTACTTCTAAACTTCACTACCAATTGTGTACTATTAAGACTTACATATAAAATACAACCATGAGTCGCGAACAAATTATAGTGTAACAAATAATTTTCTGCTGCAATTCGGATGGACCCGATCTTTGGAGCAGAACTCAGAAAACATCAGGGTTGTTATCATTTCATCTACTGGTCATTAAATAATAACAGGGTTTCCTTGAAATTTGGGTAGGGTACTCTAACAAATGAGATGAGTTAATCGGCAAAAATCACTATGACAATGTAAATCTTAAAGTACGGAAAAAAATGTCAAAGCAACCGTCTAGAGATGATATTCCTCTAAATAAAGATATCTGTATCTAAAGTATAAAGATCTACTCGACTCGCGAATACCCAACACTTTCTATAAACCATTGAATACGTGATAAAAGAAAGTATGAAAATAACCTATTTTGTTTGTTTTATAGTAAACGTTTGTGAATTGTTACTACGCCTATGAAGCTTTGCATCGTAAAATTTAGTGAAAGTTGTACATAACGTAAACAAGTATTCGGTGGATATGAACTACCGATCGCATAATAAATTATAAGTACATATATACATTTTTAAAATGATGGCGTCATAATCAATAGGCTGGCAAAAAAAAAACTCAAATTTCTGGAAGAGACGTTGTTTGGTCCTGACTGGTGCTGCAGTCGTTAGCAGCCACCACTTCGCAATGGGCCTGAAAAGCTGGTTTTGGCCCATCCTTCCTGTTTTGTTCATAGACCTGTGCCCTAGAAATAGCAACTACATCAGACTTTCCCCGTAAAAAAAACAAATAAAATAATGATTTGAATGAATAAAATGTCTTAAACTTAACCTATTTGGTATATTTGCCATATAACATTTTTGGCGCAGTCCTTTTAAGTTTACCGACACTTATAGCAGGAGGCACCGCTCTTCCATCACCATTACAATATAAAGGTGGCGTCGTTTCATCTATAATCCAAATTTGACAATAGTTAATTAATGTCACGTATAAAATTCATAGTAAATCTTTCAAATTACGACAAATGATTATATTTTCTCTAGTATTTTAACTATAGTCAAATTATACTATGTTTCAAGCAACGTGGCCTGAAACACCGTAAGCTGACAAATTTCGAGTATCTTTGGCAACTGGGTAGTTAATAGAGATGTTGGACTAGCTGGCAACCTGTCATTATCATTTTCGGACAAATTTACCCGCCAAACGAGGTCAATTGGAGTACACCTACTAAGTGAAAACACACACAAGTAAGTGGTTCGTAAATGTGAAATTTCCCGTCCTTCAGGCACACTTTAATTACCATTTATTATTTTTTATTATCTGACCTAGAACCACCTAGAACTAAGTGACCGGTGAGGTTAATATTAGAATATTTTTTTTGGTCAATCTGCACATGAATTATTGTTGGTCTTCTACTTAACCTTCAAGGGATATGTCGTAGATAGTAATGGCTCAATTACACTTGGTCGCTAAAACGTATTCGGGTGCACGAAAGGCATTACTCGAATTCAGGCACCCGAAGCAATATTTACACTGGAGTACAGACTGGAAGACTGTTTCGGGTAACCAAAACGAAAACTACCCGAATACAGGCGTACTCGACTCCGTTCATGTACACTTAGTCGTTTACCCGAATTACAATGGCACTCGTATACGGGCTAACGGCCAAGTGTAATTGCGCCATAAGATTAGTGTGCGTTTGTCAAAGTTTGGCGTTTTTGAACCATCACTGTGGAACTGAGATTTGAATATGTATTTAGTGTTTGATTGTTCTTTGTCATAAATGCTCCAACCTGTCAAAGGATAGTATATCGTTAGCCTGTGTCTATAAGTAATGTTTTGTTTTGCTAGTGTTAAAATAAATGAGCAGTGAAACAAGCGAAATTTTTATTAATAGCACCATGTTCAAGACACGGTCTCTTGATATGTTACTTCCTTCATGCGTTCGGATTGCGTGCCTCCGGTGCTATAAATCCAAGCCGCACTCCATTTTAAGAATTAAGGTCGTGGCATGCTGGTCTATTGTCAGCCATTATAACGGCATCAGAACCAATTCTGACGTTGCGCAACCGAATGTTGTGCTAAAGTGTTTTACGTCACCGGTGTACACTCTGTTCTTGTGCGTTTCTACAAGAAAAGCCTTTGACATAAAGATCGCAATTTCAGATAGTGCCGCTTTTAAGTTAAACAATTATCTGAATGTATTACAATGGAATTGTCTTATTGTATGTAATTTTTAATGACAGTCTTTTGGACAATGTTTGCAAGAATGAGTCACACCACAACGTTGATTCAGGATTCAGTAAGCTCATCGAGAGATTTTAAGTAAACATGTAAAAATGTTATGTCTACTCGGTACAACGGCAGTGCTCCTGCCTTCTGCTCCATAGATCCTTGGTTCGAATTCAGGTATTTGCATTTAACTGTGTGAAAACACAAATACCTACTTGTTTCCAAATCATGGTTGTTTATTAGTTTGCTTATATAAACGTCTTTATTAAGTGTCCATGGCACGAGCTCTACTTAGCTTGGAATCTAATAATTACCGTGAGATGTCTAGGATTTGCCAGAGACAATTTAACCCTTCTTGGTACGTTGGTCTTCTAGAGCAGAGACTAACACGAAGTGATAATTGATTTCCACTTTATGTGGGTTTGATTCACATGGTACAGCTTTGTCGGTGCCTCTTAATCGCGGCAAACCATATTCACCGGGTTTCAGAAGTCGAATTACTTTAGTTTTAATTATTTCCCCCAGTAAATTCCAAATGTTGGGCATGATAGTTTCCCGTCGGACCACCTGTACCAATAGATAGTAACATTGATGGTAAAAATACCATTGATATTTTCATGTCAATGTCCTTTTTTGCTCACTCACTTTGGCAAAACATAGATAGCTGATACGACATCGTATTATCACTAAACACTTATGTTAATGTGTTGTCTCCAATAAGGTCATATCTTAGTTTCGTCATAAGATTCCCAACCCCTTTTGAAATTTCTGAAACCTTTTCAATAAAATAGTCTTATAGATAAATAGGACATGAGATAACATAGCTTCCGCTTTCGATGGCGTTTACCGTATAAAGCTAACTTTCTGCTGAGGCTATCATGCTTGTCACAGTACCTACGTAACTGACAAGCATTGTAAAACCCTAACAGGCGAAAAGCAACCTTAATTGTTTACCATAACGTCCAACAACAGTGCAATGTGTATTGATACGTCTTGAGTTAAAGGTTTCCTATTATAGAAACAGCTCTAAAGTTGCAAGGACTTTTGAGTGCAGGAATTTCATTTATCAATTTATGTAGTTGATCTCATTCCATAAGCTAAATATATTCTTCTACGTTGATTTAATAATAATTAGTGGGTAAGCTTTATCTCTTTAAGCTACGTTGCGGTAATGTGGCTTTTGTGGAGAAGTAGACTGAATTATTAGGCCGCTATGATTTTTAAAAAGGTGGCAATGAAGCATATTATGACCCGCCTGATGGTACGAAACTATACTTTATACGCTTACGATATCAAAAATATCACTAGCGCCGAGCTGGTTCCCACTTGTCGGGTGTCGGATCCGTATATTAATCGGATGTCGGTGCCTTTGTTCACACACACGATTAATAATCGGTTGTCGGTCACGGTTGAAGCTTTAACCAATTTTAGGCACTCTACGCGAGGCGAATGTTCACGATGGACGTTGACGAAGTTCTTGTTGTGATGTTCTTATTATTATTTAAGAGAACAAAGAAAGAGAGCCATTGAATGTAAATATTGGGTATGTAAATATTTGATTTTGGATAAATTTCAGGACTTAATAACAGAATTGAGAAGTGACGAAATTAAGTGTTTCTATTATTTTAGGATGTCAATATCAACATTCAACGATCTACTGACTCAAATATAAGTGAACATAAACTACCAAAATACAGGACTGCATTTGTACTGAAAAAGGGTTACGTTACTGACGGAACAAGGGGTAGCGGGGGAGGATAGTCAGCCCCGACACCCGATAAATATGAACAGCGCCATTCTTAATCATAGGCGAGCGAGATCCGACACGATTTTTTTCCGGGCGTAGAGGGCTGGCAAAACACCCGACACTTCTTGTCGGAGCCGACACAAAATCGGTTTCTGATAAGTGTGAATAGCTTCATATATAATGCTCTGCCCCTGGAACCTCCGATTAATATACGGATCCGACACCCGACAAGTGGGAACGAGCTCTTACCTGACCTGACCCAATCCCCTACCCCGTGGAGCCCTGGAACCTTACTCACCGACAGAAACACAACACCACCAAAAGGTTGAGAAGAGGTTACTTCCAGACGAGCGCTCCAAGACGATCTAAAAATCCGCTATGCCCTTCCTCTCTTTAATATTATTGGAGTGTATAATTTTATAACTAAGGAATAGGTGATGCGAGCTAAGGCTCTTTCACAATTCAACTAGTGCTGCTATACCAGCCAACTAAAACACAAAAAAAAAATATTAAAAGACATTTATGTTTTAAAAGACGCATTAGCCTTCGCTTTAAATAAATTTGATTCTAATGATTGCTCACGAATTCACCTACATAAAATGATTTTTGTCTTTGAGAAGATTTTACCTCTCCAACTACACTAAAATTTAACAAAATAGATTCAGCAGTAACAACTTGATACCATTACAGACAAACAGAGGGACCCATCACATTTGAATTTTAAACATTGCTGATATTGGATTAACTAAACATTCATCATCATCATCATCAGCCTATTAAAGTTCCTACTACTGGGGCACAGGCCTTCCATATGGATGGAATCGAGATATTGGGCCACCACGCGGGCCCAGTGCGGATTGGCGGGTGCTAACGACTGCAGATGCAGCGGGGAACACAGCTTAACGTGCCTCCGGCAGCACGAAGGAACTCGAGATAGAAGATTTTTGGTCACCCATCAAATGACCACCCACTGCGAAAGTTGACTAACTGCAACGATCGCAGCCGAACGCGCTAACCCCTCGCGCCAACGAGCTCCTCAACAAAACATTGTCCACGCAGAATTCTGAAAATTAAACTTTTGAATTAGATTTTTGTCAATATTCAATAGCATTGTCAATACTATACCATCATTTGCAATGAGGTTCGTGCGCACACAATTCTATTAGCATTTCAATTGTACATTTAAAGGCCTCTAACGCGATTATGCTAATTGCTTTTAAAAATAATAAATCCTTTGGTTTTGACAAGTGGAGTTGCACAACCTTGTTCTCAAACTGTCATGTCAAGGGGCCCTTCATTTCATGGTGTTTCGTCCCGTTTGGTCGATTCTTCACGCCATTGTTTTAATGAAACAGTTTTTTACTTATTTCATAAGGAGGGCAGCGGACGTCCGCGATTCTTCTCGTGTCACTAGATTCACATTCCGAGGTGGGAACAATTAATATTTTTTTAATTTACGCGTTAGAAAGTGGGGCGTGATTGAATCAAGAGGAAGTTTATCTAATGGAAAAAGTTTATGATGTTTTCCTTACAATGCTTGCCTTTATCGGTTTGTAGCGTAGGCATTTTCTAAAAGGTTAAATATTCATTGTGTCCTATCCACTGAAGAATCTGACCGTGGTAGGATTATACGTTACATGGCAATTCTCCCTATTCCATCAATATGAAGGGCCTATGCCCAGCAGTTGAGACAAAATATGTCGATTCGATGACAGAAAAAGCTATATTGTACATTGGCAGTCGTGTCGTGCAGGTTTCATATTTACTGAAGTGCGGTACTGAGCGAAAAAGCACTCAAGCTGTTATTACACTACAATAATGAGCGTTCGATATTGAGTCCGACAGTGTCTAGGCAACACAGTTTTCACAATGCTTTTCATTTCCATCGTACTCAAAGACCAAACGCCCGCAGCAGGGGGTAGAAGTGAGGTCGTCCTGTTCTTCAAAAAACCCTTTTTGTACCCCCAAGGAATCGGCCAAGGGTACACAGGAAAAAATGCGCTGAAATCTTAATACATATTAATTATATTTAAAAAAAAAATTATACGACTATAATGAAGACCTTCATTTATTTGATAGTGTCCGAATTGTCATCAATAAATATTGAAAAAAAAAGTATTAATTCACACTGTATATTTTAATTTAAGGAGTTTCAACAAAAATATGTGCAAATGAGTAACCCTTAAATCGGGAGGTAACTTTGGAATTCAGGAGGAATTTCTTCCGGCCTTGGGACAAAATTACATATCAGGGTCAACAAAACAATCTGCTTCTACGGTACCTACTCAATTTGTTCGTATTTATAATGAACGTTCTTTTGAAACAATAAACATTGAATATGTAACAATAATAAATTTGATGTAGATACTAGCAAATTTTTGTAGTCTTTTTTTGATCTTTTCCCATGACAAAGTTACCTCCTAGGGTCAAAATTACCCGCTTCTACCGTACTCAATTTGTTTGTGTTTATAATAAACATTGTTTTGTTTTGTTTGCCAGAACATGCCGCCGCCCTTGTAGGCATGAGCGGCCGCGGTGCGGGGGGGCAGCGCTGCCAGCTAATCTTGCAGCGTTGCCTCGCGATTCATCTCACCAAGCCCGGCAACGCGCCCGACGACTTCTGGATGTACGACTCAGGATACTTGCTCTTCCAGGTAAGACCTTACTTTAATAAATTTAATCTTCAATATCGTCTTACTTGTGAAGAACCTTCATGCGGTACTCGGTGCAATTGCAAGCGATCTATTAAGGCGGAATAAAGTCCCGCAGTAAATAAAGTCGTCTACGCAGGCTATTATCATGCATGATATTCGTTAAATCGTGGTGAAATTATTATACAAATTTATGATTGATTCTTCTTGAAATAAAATACCCACAAAATACCTAAAATGTAATGATTTGAATTGAATATATTATTTGATGATTTGGTAACAAAAAATAGATAAATAAACTTGCCATTTGTCAATCAATAATTATATATTAATTGTATAATTATTTAAAAATATCAGGTATATCCCCGATTTACTATTAAGTGCACTACATCTCATAAAAAATTGGAGTCTATCGGAGACTCATTACCACCCTCCATACAAGTTTTACCCGTCTCCTTTGTATCAAATCCTGATTTTGAAATTAATACACGTGCGAGACCTAGGTGATCAATTCGTTATAATACGAAGCTAAACTAAGAGTGTATAGGTAAGAGCATTTACTGCTCATACGTGATTATGGTTGGTCTGCGTACAGAATAGTCTGGCTTAAACTTGTTACAGCCAGCAATGAATTCTCACATTTGGAATTTGAACACGTTCCAGTCGTTGTTTGCAATAGTCTAGCTCCAGGTAATGCTTCAATGAACCCCTACTGGAGTGTACTCGTCCGTAACTTGAAAAATAGTTACTTCACAAATACAGTAGTTATACGAACAGGTGGCTCTCTGGATTTTATTCACAGAGAAAATGCTTTAGCTTTTAGTGGCAAATGGAAAACATAGGAATGTAGGTAGGTACTTTAAGAGAGGTAGGGCATAACGGAATTTCCACTCGAATTGAAGCGCTCGTCTGGGAAAGCAACCTCCGCATTACAGAAGACTTGTTTGCAACCCTTTTGACTTAAAAATAAAACTGAAGGGAGATTGTTTCAGTTAAAAAAACCTTAATTATATTAGTGGAATGCACTTGGCATGGTTATTTTAGTTGTTTGTAACGTCCTCGCCCAGGTTCCGACAGAATACCAGCGCTGATACAGCAGCAGAAGCTGAGGCAGGGTCCCGATTGGATATCCCGATCTTAGATAATTATGTTCTTTTTATTGTTCGTTAGGTAATAGTACATTACGATACGCGTGACCTAAGTTGCCTATTACCGCACGGCGTGCAGTTAGCGCCCGAGCGGAGCGAGGGTGCTAAACGCCGTGCAGTAATAGACAACTTAGGCCACAAGTATCGTATACACACCGTGCAGAAATAGGCAACTTAGGTCACGGAAAAGCATGCGTAAAGTGCGGGTTTAGGTCACACTGTGCTATAAAGCTTTTTTGTATTTTTTTATTGTTGTATTTATAAGTTTTTCTTTTGTTAAGATGGGCCAATTAGGTTTCATTTCATTTCGTAATTAGAATTCAACTAAGTATTGGTAGATATATAGCTTTTTCGATAGTTTTGCAATCCGATAAAGAAATGTCATGTTATTGAACGAAAAATCAGTTCAGCAGGTCAACTAGTGTCCGATACTCGTTTTGTAAATGTCGAAACGGGGTATATTCTGTCACCACGCGACATTGCACATGTCGAATAAGTATTATGTGTGTAATATTTTTTAAAATAATTATACTGAACTTTCGTTATATTAGCTTATCTCCACTGCGAAAAAATAATGAGCGGTATATGAGAGGGCGGAGGAGATTTTGTGCGTTTTTAGTAAGGATCGCCGCTCACTCATTTTCCACTTCCACAATGGAACTAAGCTAACTCTTATTCAGCGGGAGTGCTACGTAGAGAGTATAGCTTAGACCATAAAGGGTCTATCGTCAACCGTGCAACTACGAATACTGAAGTTCTTTGGACAAATTTCTAGAAATGAGAAATTCAATGGAAAGACTGGTAGGAAGGCAAGAGAGTACGCGGTCGATCGCCAACCCGCTGGATAGACGCCATCACAAAGGCTACTGAAGCCACCATGGTCCAGTGCACTCGCGACGCCTCGAACCGTCAGAAATGGAAGCACATCGCCAGGAGAGCTACCCTTGGAATTGATAGCGACCCAAAGATTATCCCACCATGTACCCCGTCAGTGCGACCACGACCACTCTGACAAGAGTGCCCGATTAAAAAGAAGATAAAGGGAAGACGAGCGTGTCGTGGTAGAAAAAGCCGTAGAATATCAGTAGACACTTAGGTATTTTTACATTCATACTTGCATTTAATATGATGACAAGGTTCAAAGTTTTCAAATAGCTAATGGTATATGGATGCAGTGAATTAGATGGATACAAAAATGATTTTTATATAAATTTGTTTGTTTTCTATGGCCGCTGTAGCACCAAATTACGAAAACAAATAAAATTAAAAATCATGTCCACTCCCTCCATTTACGAGTACTTTACCAAATATAACATAGTACGGTACGCTGCCAAGGGCTCTAATTTTCACGAGGCTGATATTTGGAAAACTCACTGAAAGTCGTAAAAAATATTGTATTGTCATTTTAAGTATTCTACTGCTAGATTTATAAAATTACCTAAAATTTTTCTTTCGAGCTAAAAATGTTTATTTATTCACCATAATAGTCTCACTTTTACCTATTAAATCGGGAACTCGCACTTAAAGCTGAGCACTTTTTAAATCTATGTACACATTAAAAAGTGTTTCTAATCTTAACAGGTTAATGCTAAGTACTTAGATACGACGTGGGCGTATCAGAGATTCATATCGAAATTTCTTTAATGCATAATGCATGTTTACACACCTGCCGTAACTAGTCCAAAGTCAAAATACTTGTAATCGTAAACAGGCGCTTCCGTGCGCTTTAATTGCTAATAAAATGGACTTTAATTAGTGCCACGTTTATAAAAACAAGAACAGTTAGAGGTTATCTTTGTGAGATAGAATAATGATAGTCATTTATCAGCTTAAATAGTTTAGAAATCATCTAAAACTTATTTAATTTCTTTTGACGACCTCCGTGGCCGAGTTTGTACGCCGGGTTTCAAGGTGTCTCCTACTCGTCTCGAGTTCGAACCCCGGTGGTTGTATGTGTGATGAATACGAGCCATGGATGTTTTGTATGTATTTCTATTTCTATTTTTTTTGGTATACATATATTGTTTTAAACTTTCATGGTCACTAACATTATAGCTATTAACGGGATTGTTACCATGTACCTTGTTTTTTAAGAGTCTCCGAAATTTCGGCACTGTTGCAGGCGCCATGATCACGGAGTAACTCATAAAAAACAAGGTACATGGTAACAATCCCGTTAATAGCTATAATGTTTTGTATATATGTCTATATAAATATACTTATATACATATGTATATGTATGATATCCTTTACCCTTATATCCCATAACACAAGACTACTACTTTGAGGCTAGGCTAATTGGTGTGTGATGGAAATATTTATTAAATTTAACTACTGGCGGCCGCCCTCAACTTCGTCTGCGTTTACATAAATTTTTTTGAGAATCCCACAGGAACATAACATTTTTCAAATCTAATGTCACAAAACATATTTAAGTTTTGTGACATTAGTTTGAAAACTTACAATTACTTTTGATATTTTTTTATGTAATAAGTAGTTTCTTTTTGTTTTGTGAGTATGCAAAGTTTTAAGAAAAAATGGACAAAGAAAATATGGACAAAAAAATATGGTTTTCTTCATTTGCAGTTGTATTAGCGAAACGAAGGTATTAACTTCTAATCTATTGAGATTAAAAATAATAAACTTCAGTAGCCAATGGGCGACCGCGTCAGACTTGGCATCGCAATTATCGCAGGGCAGAATGTAGAGAATGAACTTTTCTAATAATGTCTCTGGTTTGTTGTAGTTTTTATAAAACAACTACTTGACTGAGTTTTTTTACATTTCATTTAATGACTAAGTAAAATAAAACAATTGAAATGTTTAAAGTAATTGCTTTTTTTAACAAAAATATATTTACTTGTACTCGAAATGTTGTATATCCAAAGCATTTCTTTTCTCTCCTATTTCCACAGTCTCATTGGCATCATTCTTTAAATAAAACACTGTTCCAACGGGTCAAAGATGCGTTTTTTCAATACTTTTCTACATATATTGCTTTAAACTTTCATGTTCACTAACATTATAGTAATATTTATAAGTTATTTACCATGGACCTTTTTTATAGCGAGTTTCCGATATTTCGGCACTGTTGCAAGCGCCATGATCACGGAGTAACTGCGTGATACATGGTAACAATCCCGTAAATAATGTAACATTTATTTTTCTACATATTACGATTTTCATTTTTATTTGCTTATTAATTGCTTGCTTTATTTATATGCTTATTAATTGCAGACCTTATTTAATAAAGTACACTATTCGCTAAAAGCTTGGTACGTTTACATTTTCCTTTGTACTTTGTTTTTATATCCGACAAAGTATAAAGATATGTAAGTATTTGAATATATCGTTAAGTCGAATTTATCATTGATGTTCAGTTGAATAATAAACTAAAACTTGCCAACTTCTTAACGCTCGCCGCTGTAAATAGGTTGAAGATAACGAGTATAATAATAGAACAGATTAGTCGATTGTTACCGCATTTTTTTTTCTAGCTACCGATTGATTAAAACATAATATTCACATTATCTCAGACGAGACTGCTGACTAATCGATTGTTACAAATCTACTGTGTTGGCTCCATGCATAAATTATTATGCATTAGTTTAAATCGAGCGGAACTAATAATTAATTTAGCGGTATAAATTGATGTATAGATTGACTCGCGTTATTTAAATCAACTGACAATATTAAGGTCGTGTACTTTGTTATTATGTTTAGTCAAAATACAAAACTGTGTCATATTCTGTAACCTTTTCCTATTGTTCTTCAATCTTTAACATATGCTAAAATTTGAGGCATAGATATCGCTACTTGCCTGCAGTGTCTTTCCTATTTCTATCTCCTCTAACT